TACATAGACATTATATACCTACTAAATATAATATCGCCAGAAATGTGCACCTCTAACATTGCATCGTACGAGACAAGTAAAATACGTGCAAGTTTCTGCCTCGACCTGGTATTGTGTTATGTGTCGACTTGAGGATGACTTAGAACTCATAGCATAAGTCTCCGAGACTTAATTTTACAAGCTGCAGGATGGCTTGAGTGCCACTCCTTGAACCTTTTCCCCGGAGTATCTGGCTCGATCTCGCTAATACAGACACGACACAGTTCCAGCAGCCGCTATAAAGATAACAAACGGGGCATAGCGGAAAAATAAGAATCTAGGAGCCTCGATGAGCCCGGAGGACGCGCGACAAACGATCGCGACATTTAAAATGGGCATATCTCCGAGTTTCGGCTGGGATCACGACTCTTTCATACCGCCATGCTGGCACGATGTAACACATATCGTGTAACCAGAGGCTGTTTCAGCAAATGACTCTGTATATTGTCTCCAAATATCTAGAATGCACTTTGTTCTTTTGATAAATGCAGATTTTACGTACGTGTTTATGTTGTTATTACCCAGCATTTTCGTTTTGTACGTGATAAGTGTATGGCAGAAATGGAACGAAGAAAAGTTTTCCCTTTGTTTGTGATAAGTTTGAAAATCTAAAAATCTAGAATGCAGTTTGTTCTTTGGATAAATGTTTTTAGATTATATGAAAATATGTGTTAATACAAACGTAATCACGCATGATACGATGATCTTCAAGTGTTTTAAACTCTATAAAATTCTATAGAGTTACAGGAGATGGGATCAATCAAGTTTAATGGAAATCAAAAATATGTCAGCTGAAGACTAATTTCTTAGACCGCATAAAACGTTGGTTTCTCTTCTATATTACGAAGTGCCCTTCGTGCTCGCATTATTTTTATTACATTATTTCAGGCAAAATGAAGGTATTTCGAGCTAGGAGTGCTCAGAAAAGTCAAAAGACACTAAAAGTGGCTTCTGTGATGCAGTGGCCCGTAATGGAGTAGGCTCCAGTTTTAATGCTGGAACCCGGACATTCATCTTTTCTGCGAATGTCGTAATAAAAACCGTACTCGTATGCAGATTTGTTATTAAACATGAAGTTGTGCCTGTGCTGGGAATTTAGTAATAAAGTTCAACAAAATACGAGTTTCAAAGAATATATTCAACCACACTTGGAGGTATACGAACTTTTTAAAGAAAAAATTTCTACGCCGCAGATGGGCAAACAATTAATTTTTTAATACCGAGAATTCAACAGAAGTTTATTTCCTACGTAAAATGCCTTACTTAAAATAATGATCAAATTTTTGTTTTGTATTTTGACGTTCTCAATAATGCATATTCAACCAAAATTATTGCATAACTATTGTGATAATTATTTAATTACACTTTACGAATCAACGGTACGTCATTTAGATACTGTGTACATAATAGTTGAAAGAATTTGTTTTTTACAACTTATTTTTTAAACTACTTGTGTGACTATTAAACTACGTATCTCTATGAAAATTATTACTTTCTCGTAGATTATTTTATAAAAGTTAAAATAAGGGATAAATTCTTTTCTCTCACGAGGATATATAAAATATATAAATATTTCTACGTTTTATTAAAAATAAAATAGAAACGTTTTCCATATTCACTAATATAAATATTTCTTATTTTAAATATCATATTTCAGATATTAAATGCTACAAACATCTACATAAATGATATTCCAACTCTAGCGACCACCTATTCTCTGAAATGTTCAATTTTCATTTCAAAGAAACCAATATCAGGACCCGACAAAGTGGCAAGAATCATGTACCCAAATGCAATTGAAATTTTCTAATATTCCTGTCAAAAAGAATTACTTCCTGTTTGGAGATATTTTTCTTCGCGAAACGAGCACCAGTACAACACCTTCTCCCCAATACCTCACGCCGCCATGATCGATCACAAGAGTTTCCAACATAGTGAACTGCGTGCAGGTCGACGAAGTTCGAGATTATTGTGAAGTACTCTATCACTGCCGGTGATCCGATCAATACCTTTCAAAAGATACTTCGTCTTTTTTCGTATTCGTTTAGTCGTGCGAAAACTGTTTGACGGGTACGGGCGCTGCGCAATCGCCGATTGGAAGATTCAATCAACTGCGTTTCGCGGTACGTTTCGGTGACCATTACATTGTGAAGTGATGTCGCCAGTTAATAGTTTGCCAGTAGTTTTTCACTAGGACTATTATGATACTTTATATTTTACAAGAAATTAGAGTTATATTAGAACGCTTATATAATAGCTTGATAGTATAACATTAATCAAATATTTTCAAATAATTAATCAAATATAAAAACAAGATATTTATTGCTCATTTTCTTCTTCTAATATTTTCTACTACTCTGTTTATATCGTTTTCAAACTGCAAAATCATTTCAAAATCACCTGAATATTTAGAACATACTGTTAAAAACCTGAAAAGTAATTTTAGACAATATAATATTTTACATCCTAATTCATTAGTTTCCCTTATTTCTTATATTCGATCTCAATAAATACAGTTTATTTTTGTTATACACGTCCGTACAACAAAATTATATATTCATCTACTTTGTTCGAATGAACTGTTAATACGTTAACGATAATTATTAAAACAAATATCAAAATTCATAAAACACTCAACACTTTAAGAAATGTCACTGTCCTCTTCTTCAAACTCCATTTATATTTCATAACCCCCAGACTTCATACAGAATGCAGAACCAGTAATAAATGACAGTCGAACACCCACGAGCCATAAGACAAGACCATAGGATTCGCGACCAAACCAATATCAATGAAAGTTTCTTGGGACGTGAAACGGAATGACAGCTGGATCCTTCGATCATTGTAAATTCACCCTGAGTAACGGGCAAAGTCCGAGCTGATGAATAAGAAAGCATCCTCGAATCTCCGAACGACATTCTGTCGAGCCGATCCGGCAAATCCGGCTCGCCTATATTTACAACGCTGCTTTTGTTAGACAGATTCGGTGTTTTCGAAGTTCTTCAAACTCTCACGCGCGCATGTGTGTGTGTGTAATGATGCATTTAGACCAAACGAACGAATGCACGTTGGCTCCCCACACCGATGACATTCATGTCCAAAGGAGCATTCGTTGAACATAGTAGATATTCAGGTCATTGAAATAAACGGGAAGATACCATTTTACATAAAAAAATATTTATATAAAGTATATTAATTCTTCGTACTCGAAAGTTATTTCGGTATAAATATTCGTAGCTTTTCGATAAAATATCAGTGACATTTTTTACAATTAAAAGAAAGAAAAAGTGTACATGAATTAAAAACTGAAGTATTTTATTTCAGTGTTTCGTGTATTGAGCCTTCGAGAATTAATGTCATCATATTGGCGACATTGATTTTTGGTATCTATAACTGAAAGTTACAAGATGTAGCTTAATTATTTAAGTTATGAAATATCAAAGTATGATTTTCTTGTTTTCTAATATTTAAGAATCTGCCTGTGAAGGGACAACACGTTAAATCAGAATCAGTACTCAATATCAAATTTTATAATTTTTAGCAAATCAAATAGTGATTAAAAGTTACTTCATGAGTACAAAGGGTTAATACACAAATTTGCAGTAACATAAATTACATAAATGAACAAGTAGCAAAAGATCACCCTCAATCTAGCAATACTATATGCATTTCAGTTCTGAAATTATACTTTCTCATATTCGTTCACGTTTGCAACGAATATGTCCTCAATTGTCGTTTCCATTAATCAAGCACGAATTTGTTGGACTGGAGAGCATTCGTCTATTTAGACTAAACACACCGTAAGGCAGACATCAACTACGAAGAAAATGTTTAACACGTTCGGCATAGATAGGAACTGTAGTTCCCAAGAGCGAACCCCGCGGTCAATTTGGTAACTACCGTATTTCCTTGTAACCTACAGTCTCGCCTTAAGATACCGAACAAATGTTTGTTGGCCCCTTATTCTGACAAAATTCAACGAATATTCAACAAATGCTAACTTGAGTTTTGAAACAAGTACTGAAAATACAATTCGTCCACGCACCATTTAAACTCATTGAGACCAAGATCACGTTGTCTTATTCTTTAGCCTAAAAAATCTATTGTACACATACATATTTACTGATATCAATATTTATTATAGTTTAAAAGAAACTAGTCTAAACAGTTCTTAAACATAAATATTCAAATATAATAAGCCTCATAGATTAAGACAAGAAAAAATTAATGAAATCCGATAATATATTAGAAACAATCACTTCGTATGAAGATTGTCGCTGTGGGGTCAACTATATAATCAGACTTCCACGTTCACTGTAAACATATATTGGTTACCGTTCACGCCAAACAAGCACAGATATGTTAAAAACAGGAGCAAATTGAATATTCTTTTAGTTGGTATAAAAGCACGGCATTGAATTACAACAGTATCACCTGTAGAACTACTGTCCATCCACGACTTGATGGCTAGACAGAGAAGGCGGATCTAATTGGTGAATTTTTACCTCATCTTTTATTTTAATTTACCCTTTGTCAATACCGTTACTCGTAACTAATCAAAATTACATACAAAACACACAGCCACAGGTCTCTTTACCCCTGTGCCGTCCAGGTAGCTACTAAATACTGTACCGTACAGTTAGAAGGTGACTTCATGTCTAGCAGAACTACACAGGGGCAGAAGGTGTCTTTCTTGTTTAAAGTTCTATAGTTTAGATTGATTAGATACAACCATATTATCAAACAGTAAATTAATGATTGAAAATATCAGAAATCAGGAAAATAAACCAACAGAAGGTGAGAAAAAATGGAACCTGATCAGTCTGACAAATTCCTTAACCTAGCCATCAAGTGATCTCCTAGCAGTGCAGTTAGAAACAAGAAATTGGAATTCGTACATTTTGGAAATAGTTCCCATCTGTCCCGAATGTGTTGGTAGAGTAATTATTTGAATAGTTTACCTGAGATCGTTGCCTCTGCCCCTTCGGATCCCGCGCGACGAATGTCGGGGCGGCGGACTGCACCTACAGTCACAGTGCATCACACACAGAGCGACGCTGGTCGCGAGAGTCACTACGAACGGTGCCGCGAAGAAGTGTATGATGGTGGTAACCTGCGCCTCGCGGTCATAGTTCGCCATCACTATGCTGCCGTTCACACGGCTATAATGGCAGGGGAACTTCGCACCCTCGTAGCCCAATTCCCGGGTGAAATTGTCGCAGTCAACGATCGGCGGATACCCGCACCCTTTGATGTTCACCAGGAGGGCCGCCTCGACGTCACCCGGCGTCGGCACTGTTGAGATATGTTCTCGGTTTAGTAAGGTTTTGACACAATTTGAAGGGGTTTTTCTTTTCTTTCTTTTTTGTTTCTTTTTTAAGGTATAATGAGTGAAAATTAATGAATTGTATCGATTAACCCATTTGCATCATCATTGGTCTTACGTCACGTTTAGACCTCATTTGGATGAATTCAACATGAATGTATTACTGTTATTTTTATACTGTGATTGTTGTCGTACTGTAATCATTATTATTTAATTAAATGGTGTCAATAAGAAATTTTTCTGTTAGATTCCAAGTACCTATTGTGATTAATTTTTGGAATGATATGTGTAAGATGCCATGAAGGTGCATCACTTTTTGAAGTTTAATATTATTACTATAAATAGTATATTTCATCTGCAGTAATAAAACTACATGTATCGTAATGAATTCTACTTTTTTTATGTAAATACAACCTTTGATTCTCCATAACAGAAGCACTTACTGATCATATGAAAATGAAACTAGAAACATTGGCATTTTTGAGATAGTGCAATTTCAAAGTGATTTCTAAATAATTTTCAAAGTTCTTGCATTTTAGATGTAATACAAACAAATTTCATCATCAGAGTATACTTTTCATGTAATCATGCAAATGGATTAAATTAACCCACAAAGCTTTTTATTTGTCTTCTGATACAATTTACTGTTGTTTATTATAAAACCTAACAATTCGTTATTGAAACAAAGACAAGTGATTAAATGAGGTAATATACTTTCATAAAGAACATTTATATAATTAACGATTTTTCTAATCTGTAATGTACTCTACAATGTAGGAATACATTGTGATATTAAATATACAACTAAAGAAATATTAAATATACTGTCGTTCCATACAACGGAGTAAGAAACTAATAACGTAGAAAAACTATAAAACTGTGCAAACTTAAAAGTAATTCCACTTTTCATATTAAATTTTCACAAGACGAACTTTCTTATGTGCAACACTTCTTAAACTTTTATAACCTCGTTAAAGATAAATTGGTGAAATAGAAAACCTCTTCTCATGAGTTATGACGCATATATTATGTATTTTAAAGATTCGGAGTAAAGTTGATTTTACGTCTAAAATATTTATTGAATTCTTATTATCTCTGATTAACCTATGAACACGTGATACCGTATAAAATCTTTCAGTTTTGCTATGAAACGGAAGAGAGGGTCCAACACCACTCATAATTATTCGAACGACAGAGATTTCGCTTTACCCCGCTTTTGAGAGGCAATTATAAATGTCCCATGGAATTGCTGGTATAATTGTCTCTTTACCAGAGCAATTAGCACTTTGCACTGTACAGCGATTGTTAATTGCACGCACTCTGAGTATCAGTTGTCAAATTTTATTTCTATTAAATTTTTATCAAACACATTAGATAATGTGATAAGAACTGTGTTTTCCACCAAGAAAGGAAACGTCAAAACAATTAAAGACACATTGAATTAAATACGAGTAGGAAAATTAATATAATTAATTCGACGAATGCCAAAAATCATTTAAACCACTCATCAAAGTAGAAGGTGAACGTTTTCTTGAACATCATTTATTAATAATTAATAAATAAATTTTAAGTAAATTCTTATATACTTGTAGTCTATAATATTGTAACACAAAATGATATTGTTTTTTAAATATAACAGTTATTAATCAACTTTTGTTATAAACAATGTTCTTATATATGAAGGTACCATAATATCCTTTGTCACCCTAATTCAATAGCAACTTCACAATTTTATATACTTGAACGTTTGAATCAGTAAAAATAGAAATTATAACTTTAGGCACTCCTGTTGGAAAACACCTTTGTTGTATATGCACTAAACTTAATAAATTTACCTCACTGTATAATTAACAAGATTATTTACCCAACACAGAGAACCATCCAAATTGACATCTTATGTTAACTTCACTTCAACAATATACAATTAATTTTCAAATATAGGTAAACATCTTAAACAGTTCATAATCAAAGAACTAATGTTAGAAAAAAGTTGTTCACGCAATAAATTTATTGCTGTGCATCGAAGTAAACAAAAGTCCCAGAAAACACAATCGTGAAGGTAGCCATAACAGCTACATCTACCCCAAAATCTTTCGAACGTTTAACCCCCATAAACCGTTTAATTCAATCAAATCCAAAATGTTTACTTAACAACCAACATTTCTTCGTTCTACACAGACTTGTAAATAAATTGTCAATAATCACTTTTTACGACTTTCGATATAATTGTTAATCATTACATTCAGACTCAGTTCCTTCAAACTCCCACATATCCTCACAGAAACATCATTAACGCATCCATGAACGCGAGACACGTTGGTCAAAGACGTCCGAATAGTTCCGAGTCAGCTACAGTACGCACGAGGTGATCCTTACCGGGAGTGGTGGAGGTGTGCACGACGCCGGCAGAGCTCGAGGAGTTCCCTTTACCGCCAGTGTCGTTCTTCATGCTGGCGTTGCTCCATGGCGTATACGTGACGTAGATATGCGTACACCTGTAGACATCGCTGGTGCATCCCTCGCGGCACGAGCTCCATGTGCAGTTGAACAGGCCGTAGAGCTCCTCGCGCCTGGACGTGGTGCAGATGACCGGCTCGGGCGAGAAATCGGCTGCCAGTGTGCTGATCGCCGGATCGACGTACAGTGGCACCAGGAAGAGCAACGCCGCACCGCCGGACGTCGCGACGAAGGCCAACGCCGAGGTAGCATAAAAGTTGAACCGCTGACGGCAGGTACGCCGTGGCGGTCGGCGCCGCGAAGCGCCGAACCCGAACTCCAACAGCTTGCGACGACGTAGCTCGCGCTTCTGGAAGTCGTGCTTCTCGTTCAGCTGGTGCTGCTGATGCCTATGCTGTCCGTGATGATCGCTCTGACACTGGACGCAGCTCGCCTCCAGCAAGAGCTCGGAGCTGCTCCCGCGCATCACCCGACCGCTCTCAGATAGGTGCCAACCGGATCTTCTTCAGGCTTTCGTGGCGAACGATCGAGGGTGCTCGAGGATCCTTATCTTCACTAGGACTCATCGAGTGCCGGCGGGGCTGCTTTGTCCGCTGATTTCGGGTCAGAGGCTGGATTGATACCGAGGCCGGGCGTCCTGGTTCGTCAGGCTGCACAAGACGGAGATTGCTTTCTGGACCGCTTGATTCACTCGTTCCTTGATAGGTCTCATTTAGTAAACACCTTTCTCGTATGCTAAATATTTCAATCTTACAGCTTGGCTCCTTTAGGCTATTATCTAAAATAACAAGGAATCTCTTTTGGTTCGATCCCTTTTCGACGTTTATTGACTGAATCCTCACTCCGTTGTCTTCTTTTCGTGAATAAACCCGTTAGGCTCGTTCTACAGTTTCGTTGATAACGTTAGTCCGAACGTTGGCAGCAAGCTGTCGTAGCGAACTGGAAGAAACGGCGAACGTTATCGTCGCCTCGGTGCATACGACCGTGTCATCGGAGTCTCGTGGAAAGCCTGCGAATCGTTTACGGAGGCACCGTGATCGGCATGCCACATTGCGTTAATACCGGTGCGTTCCCGTTTCCTCTGGTGTCCTTGACACGGCATCGCGCGGATCAGCAGATCCCGTTATCGCGTCATCTGAACCGTCTCGAAGAGGTCCCTCTCTTCCCGGGTGAGACTTACTATGTTCTTCTCCCGCAGATAAATAGGTCGGCTAGGCCTCGCGAAAGTTATCCCCGCGAAACAGCCGAAATGTTGGTTCTGTGTCCGGCCCGAGACGAACTCCTTGCAACTCGATTCACTTGCACTTTAGATTGTCCCCGTTTTCTCGGTATGCATAATGACCTTGCACGTTTAAAGTTCTTTTAGGCCATCGATGCCGAGCCGATCGATCACGACCTTTCGGCTGTAGTCATGATGTCGGGCCTAGAGCATCTCGGCGATGTTCCGAGTCAGCCCCCTCTGATCCGCACGGAAAAGTTTCAAGGACGTTATCTTCGCGCTAAGCACACCATCGAACGCTTTAACCGATTACTATCACTGGAACTTGGACTCACGATATCGGCGACGTGCCGCGAATCCCTTAACAATCGAACTTTACGCTAGGCCGTTTAGTGAAATTCATCGCTTTCGAACACCTTGCTAGATCAATGATTTTAAGAAGATCTCTGTTGAAACACTGGTTTGTTTCAACTTGAATTACAACGACGATATCACGCGCACACCAACCGACTCGAAAATGCCTACCAGGCGTTCCCCTTTGTACACCCGCTTTATCTTCGGTTTCGTTCAACAAATCAACCCAGCGTGCGTAATCATCGACGAAGAATCTCCCTGGCTAACGAGGTCGATGATCGATCGACAGCCGTTGCCATTAGCGCTTCTAATCAACAGGAGGCGCGTCCTGAACGCAAACGAAGGATAATACCGCTCGTGTCACGCGTCAAAAATCGATCGAAGCTTCTTCCTTCCCTCCGCGAAAGGATACTCCTTGTCCTCGCCTCTCGATACTGTTTCTATAACCCTGGAAATCCGATCGGCAATCGCGCGATCCAAAACCAACGCCAGATTCCCTCCTGGAACTCTTTAGAACCTTGCTTTCAGTATCTCCAGATAAATCCGAGGTAGATTAACGCGAACGCACAACGACGACTCTCTCCTTTCTTCCGAGAACTACGAACAACACGTCTCGCTGGCTTCGGTTACGATCCCATCCGCAAGTGGTTACCCTGTTGCTACCCGCTCGGAAATTTCCTCGATTTGTTTACCACAAAAACCATCCGGGGATCGATGAATCCTCGATCCGCTTGCTACCCCCTCAAGCTTCCTATCACTCCGCTGAATCCTCAATCAGCGAACGTTTCTCAACGACGACACGAAACCCGTTTGTAGCGAACTTTTCCTACGCGTTACACCTGACACCTCCACCTGCCTCTAATCGAAGACCAATAAACCCCCCGTGAAGCGACCGTCCGCGCCACCGCGATTCCGCCACGGGGTCCCCGGCACAGAGTGCAGGAGAGCTAGGAGTAAGATCCGTGTCTCGGCTCTTGTTACATCGGTTACCCACACCTGCGACTCTCGCGCGTTCCCGGTAGCATCCGCCTCGCGGATCGCGAGTTAAAGCGTGACTATCCGTCGAGCCTCAGCCTGGAGTCCTCGACGGGACAGGCTTTCGGTCCGAAGCGACAGGGCGGGGTTCCAGGCGCGCATGAGCGCGCGCTCACCCCC